ATTACTTCTGCTTGCAGAAAGGAAATAAAATTCAGATTTGAGGTTGCATTTAGGGCCCAGCTGAACTTCACTCCATTAGAGGTGGGGCAGGCATTATGCTGAAACTGAACTCCTTCACACCTTTGTTGTTGAAAGGTAGTTTGCCCTTTCACAGCAATATTTTTAGAACAGGAGTCAAAGATAAGATTCAGTTTTTAGATATTACTTCTGCTTGCAGAAAGGAAATAAAATTCAGATTTGAGGTTGCATTTAGGGCCCAGCTGAACTTCACTCCATTAGAGGTGGGGCAGGCATTATGCTGAAACTGAACTCCTTCACACCTTTGTTGTTGAAAGGTAGTTTGCCCTTTCACAGCAATATTTTTAGAACAGGAGTCAAAGATAAGATTCAGTTTTTAGATTCTTAAAATAAATTGACAAATAAAAGTGCAAATAACCTTTTAGTTAAGGTGAACAGAAAGCAGTAGAGTGCTTCTTGTCTTTGCCAGTGATAAAGGCAGGCTAAGGGTTACTGAAGTTCTATGAACCCATCCCCTGCTTTGCAGCATGGATCCAAGAAGCAGAGGGACTGAAACATCAAGTGCTCCCCACCAACCTTCTTATTTTTTATTCTCTTGTCTATGAATAACCTTCACTTACAACATGACTTCCCTCTTCAGTGGACTCTGGTCAAAATATGTACCATAGTGTGCTGCTTACTGGCACTGAAACACTCCTAGGATATACTGCAATAGCTGGAACAGTAAAAGAAGGCAGCATAGAAAAATTTTGAAACAACTATCTTTACAAAGAAACCCAGTGGTTTCTTCAATTAAACTATTCTGAGTTTTATGAAATGGAAATACTGTAAACATGTAAGCCCCGATTCATAGTTGTATGTCACTACAAATAATGAAAGCTACAAGCCTCATACTATTTGGGCAACATTGTACTCTGTGCTTCAACTGTTATGATCATCATATTGGGACAGGCTACTGCCAATCAAATAAAAGCAATTCCTCTCTTATGATGCCATTAGCTGACAAATTCATGACATGGCTGTCAACATTCAAGAACAATTATTTACAGGCATTCAGGAGAGCCTGAATATATGAAAATAGTCATTTTCAATTCACCATCAAGCTCTGGTAGCAAAGAGACTAAGTAGAATTAAAAGAATTACTTGAGGAGACTATAAAACAGGACTGGGCAAATCACAGACCATCACACCTTTTAATCTTGCCCTCAAATTCCATGGGCCTGCTCCAACCAGCAAGCTGGGTTGGGGTTTATTCTGCTCCACCCACCTGACCACACTGACCAGAAGGAGTGCTGGGTGGGTGGCAAGAGTGGGCCAACCTCCCAACCCTGCTCCCCGGCTAGAGCACTGTATAGTGGAGTGGGGCAAGTGATGGAGTGGACCTGGATAATAGGTGGGTGACTAACATACAACTGATGTTCAGATAGGAGCAAAATTTTGTAGTAAAATCAACAAACATTTCAGTAATGTAATTCTAATAACAAACTGTTCAACAGAATTATTTTAATAACATGAACTGTTAATTTCATGAGTGTTCATAGCCTACCATACAATTTCCCAGATGTGACCCTCGGGCCAAAAAGTCTGCCCACACCACCTTTATTATTTGTCAACGGAAGCGTCACAACCACCCAACTCTTCATGAACTGCTCTGGGGTAGGGGTTCTGGAGTGGTCCTGCAATGGCTTCTGTTTGAGATCAGTCTATAAACTTGAGCTGGTGCAGAATACATCAGTTGGTGTGTCAAAACGGCAACACGATGCACCAGGGCTCCACGAGCTATACTGGCTGGTTTCTCAATTAAATTTAAGGTTTTGTTTTTAATCTATAAATGTCCTAAAAGGCTTGTGATTTTCCTATATTGGATATTGCCCCTTTCCTGATACCCTTCTTCTGCAGCTACAGGTGTGCCCAATTACGACAGCCATCTTTTAAGAGATTGGCAAGACTGTGTTCGCCATGAAGGGTCTGCACCTCTGGAACAAACTCCTTCTGCTCAAAAGGAGTCCTGCTCTGTTGGCCTCTAAGGATGTTTGTTTGTTTGGTAACAAAAAATGGACTAGCATTCCTTTTTATTATTCTAGCAATACAAACCACCTTTCCAAAACTGCTCTTCTTGTACAAAAAAGAATGTGCTTGTTAAATATTCTCTTTCCATTACAACACCTCTCAACCAAAGAAACCTAAAATAAAAGCTATACTGATTATTTTGGGTAGCAAAGGAGGAGGATTGGAATGCTAAAATTAAAATGGAATTTATGATGCAAAGGTCTTTCATGATTATTATCAGGGAGAAATAAAACATGACTAAAGAAAATATATTTCTCGAAGCAAATACCTTGGTTTAGTTGTGTGGCCTCTGTAATCTGAATTCCATTCACAGAACACTGTGCTCCATTCAGTGGTATTAAATTCACTGTACCGCTGAGATTTTCAAACACGCAGTGCTCACTTTCCAAATCAAGACCATGAAGAACTAAAATAGTCACAGGTAAAGAAAATAATTATTTTCATAACATCTCCTGAGACTTAGATTTTTTTTTCATTGATTGTGGGCGCATATCAGCAGGCATTTGAGTATTTATTATTCTGGAAAATATTCTGTATTCTCTCTCTACCAATCCATGTGGACATTTGATTTGCTTCTTTTTTTGGTAATAACTTTTCTTCTAATTTCACTGGACAATAATGCTTTACAGAAAACTCTTAACTTGGGAGAGCAATTATTTTTATCTGCATTTGTAACTTGGGGCAATTATATTTAATTGGAGAATACATGTTATTTACAACGTATAATACTTAATACTTGTCTACAGTCATAACTACTAAAGGAGAAGTGCTACCAGACCATTTGCTGTTATTAAAGGAGAGTCAAGATAGAATTTCAGGTTTTCCCATCATTGTGCTTAATTCACTGGATCACATAGAAAGTGAGTGGGAGAAGGAAAAAAACTATGTGGCTACGTCTACACTGGCCCCTTTTGCGAAAGGGGCATGCTAATTTAAAACTTCGGAATAGGGAAATCCGCGGGGGATTTAAATATCCCCCGCGGGATTTAAATAAAGATGTCCGCCGCTTTTTTCCGGCTTGGGGAAAAGCCGGAAAAAAGCGTCTAGACTGGCCCGATTCTCCGGAATAAAGCCTTATTCCGGAGGATCTCTTATTCCTACTTCAAAAAGCCCTATTCCGGAGGATCGGGCCAGTCTAGACGCTTTTTTCCGGCTTTTCCCCAAGCCGGAAAAAAGCGGCGGACATCTTTATTTAAATCCCGCGGGGGATATTTAAATCCCCCGCGGATTTCCCTATTCCGAAGTTTTAAATTAGCATGCCCCTTTCGCAAAAGGGGCCAGTGTAGACGTAGCCTGTGAGTTTTCATGGGAAGATAGTTCCTGCTTTTCATCCCAATTAGATAATGACAAATACTTCATATGAAATTGTGTCAGACTCTGGGATCTATTCTAATGGAAGCTTTATACCTGGTTTTGTGTTTGTATTTAGACCAAAGAAAGCAGTTATAAATATTTGCCCAATTCACATTTCTCAGATGAGGGGAAAAGGGTATGGTTCATCAACAGAAATTACTCTGTGTCACTTTACATAACATATGCCATTCAGTACTGCAGAAATAGCTTTCATTCCAACATCAAGAGACTACGCTGGTCAGTAAATAAGCCTTGTCTCCATCAGCGTAGGGAGCTTACAGTAAGACAATACAAAAATACCATCAGCACACCAACAGATTAAGCAAAGGACCATGAAACAGCAGTTTACTATGCAGAAAAGGACAATATTTTTATAGGGCAGTTTCAGTTTTACAGTGACCAGGTTAATAATGCATCTCATAGTGCACAAATATGAAGGTTTGTCAAAATCCATTAACTACAGGCAGTCCCCGGGTTACATGGATCTGACTTACATCAGATCCCTACTTACAAACGGGGTGAGGCAACCCCGCACTAGCTGCTTCCCCCCAGCAGACCAGGGAGACGCAGAGCGGCTTTTCTCAGCAGACACCTCAGCTTGAGAATAAAGGACTGAGGGAAGTGAGGTGTGGGAGAATAAAACTGAGCTCTGGAGAAATGTTTGGCTAGAGTTTCCCCTACAATATGTACCAGTTCTGACTTGCATACAAATTCAACTTAAGAACAAACCTACAGTCCCTATCTTGTACGTAACCCGGGGAGTGCCTGTATTTTAAAAACTGTACTATTAGTCACTGCTTGACTCAAGTCTCAATGAGGATAATGAAATCACTGTATTACAATGCAGTTCTCTTGGGGGATTTTTTTTTGGTTTTTTGTTTTTAAAGATTATGAATGTACTAAGGATGTTAAATTGAATGTAATCAGCTAATTGAGTAGTTGATGGAATTTCCATTGACTAATCGATTAGTTGATAAGGGGGAAACTGCAGAGCTACAGCAGGGTTAGCTCCTGGCCCCATGACTTGACCCTGCTGCGGGCTCTGCCTTTTAAATGTATTAAGAGCCTGGTGGTTTTTAATACATTTACAAGGCAGAGACATGAGGGTGGACTAGGTGCGAGCCAGAAATCAGTTGATTCCCACTCCCACCCAATCACTCTCACTGCACCTCTACTTTACATTTAAAAAGCAGAAGAGCAGCGTCCAGGCTCTGGTGCAAGCCGGGAATCAGATGATTACCGGCTCGTGCCCAGTCCATGTCTCTGCCTCCTCTTCCCTCTCAGATGGTGCTGGGGGGGGGAGGGGGGGGAGGGGGACTGGCATTTAAGCCAGCTCTCCCCAGCACCGGTTTCTGCTCCCCCTGCTTGCTGTCTGTCTCTCTCTGATAGAGGCAGCAAGGTAGGGGGGAGGAAGTAATTAGTTGAGTTACTACTCAATTACCTGATAAGCACGTGTTTATCGGGTAATCAACTAGACCCTTACAGCACTAGAATATACATTCATTATTAACAATATATATAAATATCACTAACTAAATAGGAAGGGAAATTTTAAACATGTCATATGTTTGGATTCTGGAAGAGAAACAGACATTCGAAGAATGGATGAATATGAAAAATGTCATGGCTTTCTTACCAATATCCTGTTCTGTCACAGCATCTTCTCTGCCAACATATGTTTGGCCCTCCTAGATAGGAAAAAAAGCTATATTTTTAAACTTTAAAATAAGGTAGGATACGTTTTTTATTTCTCCCCTTCTCCCCTCCCCACCTCCTATCTCCCCCCAGATTTGGGTCAAATTATTGTTCACAAATTGTATTTTAAATAATCTAGTAACAATTTTAAATTGCTTTATCATACAACTTTGTTAGTTCAAATTTTACTTCTACTGAGCAAAAACCAGCTTGATGGTTCTTACACTATCAACCTATATTTGGATTTCAATCCAAGCTTTACAACAAGGTGAATATAAAACCAAAAGGTACAGCTAGACTGGGGTATCCCCAAAAAAATCCACCACATCCAGGGAATGCATTTGCTCTTCTACCTTTTTTTTGCAGAAGAGCAAACGTGCTCTTTCTGAAGCCTCTTTATTCCTCATTCCACAAGGAGGAAGGGGGCTTTCGAAAGAAGGTTTTTTTTCCCGAAATTTGGCCCAGTCTAAACAGGCCATATTTCGGAAAAGCCTCTTCCGACAAAAGTATCAGAAAAAGATATGCAAAATGTGCTCCACATTTTGTGTATCTTTTTCCGATAGATCCTTGCTGTCTAGCCATATCCCAAAAGAGCGGTAAGAATATCATACACCTATTATCAGGTAAAGAGTAGCCTCTCCGGACAGAGCTAGGCACTAACTGATTGATATTTTAAGTTGATCAAATTATAGCCTTTTTACAGGTGAGGTCACAGTCCTGGAGAAATGATTCCTTCATGTAGACTGCAAATTAACACTATAATTAAAGTTGACCATTAAAAAAAAACAACACACACACACACACAAGAGGCAGGCTGTGGAAGGTATATTTACCTTCAAGTGATACAAGATGATCCCAGTGCTGAGAAGATCATCATCAATGCCAATGAGGTGAGGCAGTTCTGAATCCAAAACGACACCAATTCCTTCTTTCCTTAGGGCTAAGGTTTGTTCCTGCCATGACAAAATAACAAAATTTACTTTTTCCTCAAAGCAGACAGATTGTACTACTCTTAATTCTGTATTTTAATTAACACTTTTTAATGAATCAGGAAGGCAACATCTACGTTACACATCACTTGCAGATAAAGTATATATAGCTGCACAGAAAAAAAGAAAAAAAAAAGGAAGTGACCATGCCGAGGTGGGTAAACACGTGTGTCAAAGGAAGGCTTCAGCTGGAGGAAGGCAGAGAGGAAAGACTCTGGCAGCTTCCCACTATCCATGCCCTTTCCCCACAGCAGTGGGGAGCTGCCAGAGCCTGATACCAGAGTCTTTTCCCGCTGTGGGGAAAGACTCCAGTAGTAGTGAGGCAACTAGATCTGATCCTAACAAACAGGGAGGAACTGGTTGAGAATTTGAAAGTGGAAGGCAGGTTGGGTGAAAGTGATCATGAAATCATAGACTTCACAATTCTAAGGAAGGGTAGAATGGAGAACAGCAAAACAGAGACAATGAATTTTGGGAAGGCGGATTTTGGTAAACTCAGAGAGCAGATAGGTAAGGTCCCATGGGAATAGACAGAGGAAAAACAAAGTTTGGCAGTTTTTCAAAGGGACATTGTTAAGGGCCCAAAAGCAAGCTATTCCAATTAGTTGGAAAGATAGAAAATATGGCAAAAGACCGCGTTGGCTTAACCACGAGATCTTGTATGATCTATAAATAAAAAAGGAGTCATATACAAAAATTGAAAGTAGGACAAATTACAAAGGAGGAATATAGGCAAACAGCACAGGAATGCAGGAGCAAGATTAGAAAGGCAAAGGCACAGAATGAGCTCAAACTAGCTACGGGAATAAAGGGAAACAAGAAGATTTTTGATAAGTACATTAGAAGCAAGAGGAAGACCAAGGAGAGGGTAGGCCCACTGGTCAGTGAAGAAGGAGAAACAGTAACAGGAAACTTGGAAATGGCAGAGATGCTCAATGACTTCTTTGTTTCGGTCTTTACCGAGAAGTCTGTAGGAATGCCTAACATAGTGAATGCTAGTGGGAAGGGGGTAGGTTTAGAAGATAAAATAAAAAAAGAACAAGTCAAAAATCACCTAGAAAAGTTAGATGCCTGCAAGTCACCAGGGCCTGATGAAATGCATCCTAGAATACTCAAGGAGCTGATAGAGGAGATATCTGAGCCTCTAGCTATCATCTTTGGAAAATCATGGAAGACAGGAGAGATTCCAGAGGACTGGAAAAGGGCAAATACAGTGCCCATCTATAAAAAGGGAAATAAGAACAACCCAGGAAACTACAGACCAGTTAGTTTAACTTCTGTGCCAGGGAAGATAATGGAGCAAATAGTTAAGAAAATCATCTGTAAACACTTGGAAAGTAGCAAGGTGACAGGGAACAGCCAGCATGGATTTGTAAAGAACAAATCATGTCAAACCAATCTGATAGCTTTCTTTAATAGGATAACGAGTCGTGTCAATAAGGGAGAAGCGGTGAATGTGGTATATCTTTAGTAGGGCGTTTGATACCGTCTCGCATGATATTCTTATCAATAAACTAGGGAAATACAACTTTGATGGGGCTACTATAAAGTGGGTGCATAACTGGCTGGATAACCGTACTCAGAGAGTAGTTATTAATGGTTCACAATCCTGCTGGAAAGGCATAACAAGTGGGTTTCCACAGGAGTCTGTTTTGGGACCGGCTCTCTTCAATATCTTCATCAACGATTTAGATATTGGTATAGAAAGTACGTTTATTAAGTTTGCAGATGATACTAAGATAGGAGGGATTGCGACTAATCTGGAGGATAGGGTCATAATTCAAATTGGAGAAATGGTCTGAGATAAATAGGATGAAGTTTAATAAAAACGAATGCAAAGTGCTCCACTTAAGAAGAAACAATCAGTTTCACACATACAGAATGGGAAGTGACAGTCTGAGAAGGAGTATGGCAAAAAGGGATATAGGAGTTATAGTGGACCACAAGTTAAATATGTTGCAAAGAAAGCAAACATGATTCTGGGATACATTAACAGGTGTGTCATGAGCAAGACATGAGAAGTCATTCTTCCGCTCTACTCTGCGCTGGTTACTCTCCATTGTTAGGCCTCAATTGGAGTCTTGTGTCCAATTCTGGGCACCACATTTCAAGAAAGATGTGGAAAAATTGGAGAGGGTCCAGAGAAGAGCAACGAGAATGATTAAAGATCTAGAGAATGTGACCTATGAGGGAAGGCTGAAGGAACTGGGTTTGTTTAGTTTAGAAAAGAGAAGCTTGAGGGGGGACATGATAGCTGTTATCAGATATCTAAAAGGGTGTCAATATGAAGGAGGGAGTAAACCTGTTCATCTTGGCCTCTGAGAATAAAACAAGAAGCAATGGACTTAAACTGCAGCAAGAGAAGTTGAGGTTGGACATTAGCAAGAAGTTCCTAACTGTCAGGGTGGTCAAACACTGGAATAAATTTCCCAGGGAGGCTGTGGAATCCCCATCTGTGGAGATATTTAAGAGTAGGTTAGATAAATGTCTATCAGGGATGGTCTAGACAGTATTTGGTCCTGCCATGAGGGCAGGGGATTGGACTCGATGACCTCTCGAGGTCACTTCCAGTCCTAGTATTCTATGATTCTATAACTGCAGGACACTACACTGCTATTTTTAAAATGGGTAGGCAAAGCCCAGTAGGGTACATACCTAGAGAGTTCAGATGTGTCTATGCTCTCCTTAGCTAAGTAGTGCCTCACTGTCTACACTATTATTTCCCCATTTTAGGGGGCCTGTAGCATATGTATTCTATATATCATCAAATGGAATGTGCAGTATAGATGTACCTCAAATGGTCCCTGTTGAAAGGTTTACTAGGAAATAACCAAGACTGAATATTTAGATTTCAATTTTCAAATGTAAACTCCAAGCTTGCTATTCAGAAAGTCTAAAAAGGTATTATTTATGAATAGGCGGTCAAGAAGCTGTATTACAACAGATTAGGAGGATTAATCAAAAGAACATTGAAACTTCATTCAGTCAGCATTATTAATGTACTACTTCTGGTGTTGTTTAGATATTCATATGGAATTTGTAAGCATAAGGGATGGAAAATTGAGAGTTCTATTTGGCCACACTTTAAATAAACAAGCTTCCTCAATAATGAGCTTGGAAGAATGAAAAATCTAAAATTTTGCATAATTAGCAAACTATAATATAAAAGCAGCACAAAATATTGACAGTAATAAATAAATATAAGACTTACAGCCATAATTTTAACTGTACATAATCGCCAAATACCAGATTCTATTCAGACTACTCACAGAGTATAGTGCCATTCAGCAAAAGTGCAACCTTTAAAAGTGATAAATGATTTCTGGTAACATTTTTAAAACACAGGCAATACTATATCAATGTATCTAATGAATCAAATTAGGACTGAACAAGGATTTAGAATGATAATCTCACTACAAAGGCAATTTTCCTCTCTTGATATTCAAACCTCCCCATCAGGTAACGCGAGTCAGACACATCAACCCTGACAGAATTGGCCTGATTAATACCGATCCTACACTTGATAATTAACCCCCTTCTTTTGATATATTAGTGTACACACACACACACACACACACTTTTTGTGATAATTAGTACACACACACACACACACACACACACACACACACACCCCTCCCTGCCTCTAATTTCCACTCCAATGTACCTGATGAAGTGGGTTTTACCCATGAAAACTTACGCACAAATAAATCTGTTGATCTTTAACGTGCCACAGGACTCCTTCTTGTTTTTGCCGATACAGACTAATGCAGATACTCTTATGAGAAATGTGCCTAATGTATATAACAAGACTAGAGATGGCAGTTTGTTTTGAAATAAAGTTTAATACTGATCTACAATTAAACAACAGTGGTAAGATGTAAAGGTACCCTTATTATTGAAGTTTGCTTTGGACATTTTTGGTTTGTTTTTTTTGGTATAAACCATGCAGGAAAACTGCAAAGAAATTGGGATTTCTTTCATATATAAAAGAGAATCTGATATTGTAAAAAGGGGAAATTTACAAATCTCACAACGGTGTATCAAAAAACATGCACTTTTCTAATGGCATTTCTAAACCCACAAGACCTATCTAGTGACAGTAAAATGACAGTTCCCTATTTAATGGATATGTATTTTATGAAAATTTCTCTAAATACAGCAGGTTGACACAAATCTGAACAAGATTTTTCTAATATTAGCTCTTTCAAGCCTAAATGTTACCGTGACATGACAAACACCCCAAACCAAAAATAAATAAATAAAAATAAAAGAGATACAAAGTATAAATTCAACTTTTCAAGCAATCAGAAAAAGTCAGCTTGTTATTAATGCTGCCCTGAAGCTCTCTGACATTCAAACTACATTCAGCAACTCCTTAATACTGTATAAGTATCACCTCAAAACTAAATCATTGTTCAAGTGAAAAAGTAATTTCAGACAAAAACATCTATCACACATTAAATATTTACTGAGTAGGGTTTACTTATATACATAATTTATAGTACACCTATATGACATGACTGAATACTCCAAAACCCACCAGGATGATGCTGTTTGCAAACTGCTGGCACTTTTAGTCCAACACAACAGATGAAATATTTAGAGCTAACCATATTTTCTCAGCAAAACAAATTATTTGCTAACATCCCTTGGTGAGGAAAAATTAGGCTTGCTAGGATGTACAGAAATCATAACTAGGGAAGAAAATCACTTATGAATAATTAAAAGCAATGAAAAAATGTTTCTCCTTTAGGCTGGTTAACAACATTTATTAACTACTATTAAAAATAAAATGATTAATTATGTGATGTGGTGTTCATTTATTCAGATCTAAAATAGAAAACCAAATAAGTTCCATTATTTTGGCTATATTCCTGAAAATTACATACACAATGCATTCCATTGCAAAATGCATTCTAGACAGAACTTGTAGCATCATCATAGTTAAAGTTACCTAACACTTT